CTGATCACTTGGTTCCCCCAGCAAAGTGCAGCACAGCCACCATGACTTTCCAAGGGAAGACTTCAGACTCTGTGAAGGGAAAATGCCACGTCCTGTCTGTGCTCACTCCTTTTTCCCACCCTGTCTTGAACAAAGGGAAATCCATGTTACTTTACCCATACTAACTTGGGGTTCTGCCTTGCCATCAATAATTCCGCTATGTTAAAAATTTTAAGAGTAAAAGAAGCCATCAAAATGTATCGGGAAAACAAGATATTTCCAAATTCAAACACTGAGTAAAGTGTTTACATCCAGCCTTACATGCTTTGCTGAGCACAGCCTGTAAGAAGTTAAGACACAAGCTTATCACCAGGGGTTTGGTGCTGCACCAGCAGCAGCTGCTGGGACCTGGCAGAGATCCTTCCTCATAGACTGCCTCATGAAGTCCTGCCACAAACTGCTGCATGCTCTGGATCCACCCTGGGCATGGGGCACCAAAAAGAGGGAAATCCAAGTTACTTTACCCATAATAACTTGGGGTTCTGCCTTGCCATCAATAATTCCGCTATATTAAAAATTTTAAGAGTAAAAGAAGCCATCAAAATGTACCGGGAAAACAAGATATTTCCAAATTCAAACACTGAGTAAAGTGTTTACATCCAGCCTTACATGCTTTGCTGAGCACAGCCTGTAAGAAGTTAAGACACAAGCTTATCACCAGGGGTTTGGTGCTGCACCAGCAGCAGCTGCTGGGACCTGGCAGAGATCCTTCCTCATAGACTGCCTCATGAAGTCCTGCCACAAACTGCTGCATGCTCTGGATCCACCCTGGGCATGGGGCACCAAAGGAACCATCACCTGGAGGAAGAGCACGTGCTGAGCCACAGGAGCAGGAGGCTGTGCAGATGGAAAAGTAACAGTTTCTATCAGCCTTTAACAGCTGGCAGCTCTGTGGTTTCATGCACTTCCCATTGCTGCAACAGCTATTTTAGTCAAATGGTCATCACAGAAATTTCCCTGACCCCTGAAGGAGGACATTAAAACAGCTAAAGCCAGAATTGCAAAGCTGGTCAGAGGTTTTGCTGCCTAAATCACTTGAGATTCTGCAGCTTCCTCAGGCCATTCCCAGATACAGTTTCTTTGCTTTCCTCCTTACCCACCATGCTCTCTAAATTGCTTCCAGGTAATTTATAATCAAGATCAGGAAACTGGGAGAAGCCTGGAGGATTGGTAGTAAGCAAATCTCTTTTATTGGTGGTAGCTTTTCCTGACTCTGAGGGTGTCCCACAGCCCTCAGGAGCTGCGTGTGCCATCCTGTGACTGCAGCAAGGGCACAGCTGCAGCGCAGTGCTCGAGCACGCAGCGATGCTGCAAAACACTTCAGGGCAAGGGAGAGGCAAACAGAGCAGGAATTCAGGGTCTGTTCTCTTACAGCAGTGCCCAGACTGCAGCATTTGGGCAAGAAATCCAAGCTGAGGGGGGAAAGCATTCTTTAGACTCAGGGAATTCCCCACACTCCTGTGCTGGGCAAAGGCAGAGCTGGTGACATGGCCTGACTTGCCTGGTGCAAGCCACAGAGCCCATTCCAATGACTCCTGAATGACACAGAACAAATCCCATCTGCTTGTTAACTCCTCTCTCATTTCTCCTCTCTTCCCTTTTCACCCTACTCTCTGAGGTTCCCAAAGTTATTCCTCAGCTGCAGTTCTCTGGGGTACCTGTCACAGTAAGATACATTTGTGCTCTCCTTCTGCTGTGTTCAGACCTCACCCAAACCCCAGTCCAGCTGCTCCTCTGCTGACACCAGCTTTTATTTCTTCCCAGCAGGACTGCACGTTGCATTTCCTCTGGAAGCCATGTCTGGTGTGCCTGTTACTCCACAAGCTCACAAGCTTCAACACGTGTCCCACAAGAAAACGTCACAAAGCAGCTGTTATAGGCAGCAGGGGATAAACCTCTCCAAGGAAATTAAATAAAAGCCATTTTGGCAAGGATTCCCACTGCAGTGCTGAGAACTCAAATCCCAAAGTGGCACATGAAGTTGAGGCAGTCGGGCTTGTGGATAAACAGGGCCTTTGTCACACCCTGAGAACACGGATCTGCTGCGGCTACGCCGACATGCTTGAAACAAAAAAAAAAAGAAAACGAGAAAGAGCTCCTTTCAAATAGGGCCAGGAAGAGGTAAAGGCAGCTCACTGATTTTATTTTAAAGCATTGGATGTGCTTCCATGGGTAATTACAGGCTGGGGAGCACAGCCATGCTCAGAGCCAGCAGCTCTGGGGGAGCCCCTGATGTTGGGCTCCAAACGCTCCCAGCTCTGCAGCCCTGTGCCCGCCTGGAAGCAGCAAGAACTGAAACCACCTAATCTGTTTGCTTTTCCAGGCTAAATATAGGACAAAGGAGTGAAAGGCACAGATGGCGAAAGCTCTGCAAGTTTTTAGGTTCCCCTGCTCTAGGAATTTAAGCTGCTGAAGCACAACACAAGGCTGAGCCTTGTCAAATACCTTCACAACCGGGCAAAGCCCAGCTGTACTGATCCCAGCTGTACTGATCCCTGCTGGGATCCGGTCACTCACGTGAGGTGGGATCACAGGAACAGTCAGGTGAAACACCTCATTCACATTTCCCTGATCCAGCTGCCTCTCCTGACCGCTTTCTTGCAAATTTCCACATGGAAGAGGGACAAAAACACACCCCCGTGCAGAAAGGACTCCGAGTGGAGACACAACAAAAAGGACAAGGGATTATTTCACATGCAAATGTGAGCAGAATATAAAGGCAGATTAATGATTCAGTAGCAAAATTCTTCCAGGCAAACGAGCGTGGCTGAAAGAAAACCCAAAGGGAGGGTGAAGATGAGGTATTCGGAGGAAACAAAACTGAAACAAAAATAATTAATCTTTTTTTTATACACCATTAAACTGGGTTCAAATTGCATTTCTGCAAAGATCCACAATCCTTGTTCAAGTGAGGGGCAGAATCAGATCAATCACCCAAACAATTAAGTCTGGCTAGCAGGAAAACAGGCAGAGATGCTGAATGTTTTGGGACTCCTTGTTCTCCTTAGAACTACCCAAAGGATACACAGGTGAACACTAAGAACTGGCCCAATCAGAGGGAAAAAGGGGCACTTTGGGTAAGCATATGCTGTAGCAGTGGTAAGGAGAGACTGAAATACAAAATTAAGCAAAAGCACCAGCAAAACTGTATTTATGTAAAGAAAGAGAGTTGTCCATGAGAACACCCACAGGAACAGCACCCAGGGTAAAGCCCAGCTCTGTTTTACCTTCTATCAAGAACTGCTCTCACCCACCTCTCTGTGCTACAAAATACTTCAATGCCTCCGTACCAGGAGGCTGAATCTGTACTGACTGCATCACACCTGTGTGAGGTGAATGAGACAGAAAGCTCAGAAGCTTGGGATGTCAGAAATCCATTTTTAAACCAGCACCCAGAGCAGCTCCATCGCTCCTCCTCTGGGACAGTGCTGACAGGGCTGGAGCATGGAGCAATTGGTGACCCCAAGCCAGACCCTGCACTGCCCACTCAGGGTGTGTGGGGATGGTCTGGGGCTCCACACACCTCAGAGGGATGGGATTCATGGATCACACCAGCACTGAGCCCACACAGGTCACTTCAGACCCCTCGCTGTGCACCTGAGCGCGTCCAGCAGCAGGGATGGAAAGGACCTGCTCAGAAAGCAGAGGACAAGCTCTGTGCGGTGCTGTGGCCTCACCTGCACCCTCACGGGCACGGCAGCTTTCTGTTCACGCTCCTGTGACCCCGCAGCGATGCAGAGCGAGGTGGTGCCCGCAGCCATGAGATAACACAGGCAGCTCTTTCCTCGCCGTGAAGGGAAACTGAGGCACCGCTATGTGCCCGGGGCCCGCCCCGAGCAGCCGCGGCCGCATTTCCCGGCAGAGCCTCACGCCGGGAGCACCCGCTTTTCCCCAACGCCCCTCGCAGCGCCTCGGACGAACTTCACAGAAAATGACGGCATACAATGCCAACACCTCGCTAGAGCTCGTGTTCCCCTCTCGCCTCCCGAGCTTCCACTGCCGCCGCCCGCGGCCCAGGGCCGGCACGGCCGGGCCGCGCTGGGCACCGACACCGGGGCAAAGCCGGGCTCCGACCCCGAGGAGGGGCGGCAGGGCCCCTCCGGGCAGCCTGGGCCCGCTGCCCCCGGACACCACAGTGGACACGGCCTCGGACACCCCCTGACCCTCGGACACCCCCTCCGGCCGGCGGCTCCACAGCCCGAACGGGCCCTCAGCCCCCCGGGCCCGGCAGCTCCCCACCGGCGCGGCCCCGCCGTCCCAAACCCCCAGGCCCGGGCTCTCGCCCCCCGCAGCCCCCCGGGAGGAGGATGAGGAGAATGAGCAGGATGAAGAGGAGAAGGAGGAAGAGGAGGGGGCGCCTCACCGGGAGAGGTGCTTCAGGATCTGCTTCTTGATGATGCCCGCCATGCCGGGCCGGCGGGTCAGGCCCGCGGGCGGCGGGACCCCATCGCGCACCGCCCGCTCCGCACCGCCCGCCCCCGGCCGGCCCCTTCCCGCACGGCCCGCCCGTGTCCGCGCCGCCCCCGGCCGGCCCCTTCCCGCACCGCCCCCGGCCGGCCCCTTCCCGCACCGCCCCAGTCGTGCTCCGGGTGTGTGCGGGGAAAGAGCGGCCACAATGAGCCCCCGGATATCCAGGGACCCGCTCCAGGACCCCCACCCGGACCCCACTCCAGGACTAACCCAGGAGCCCCAGGAAGCCACCCCGGGATCCTTCAGGACTCCCCTCTCGGAGACCACCCCAGGACCCCACCCTGGGATCCTCCAGGGACCACCCTGGAAGTGCCCTCCGGACCCCACCCGGAATCACCCCCAGACCATCCTGGAGCCACCCCAGGATCCTCCAGGAACCCCTTCCCAGGGGTTCTCCCATCAGCCCTGACTTCCCTCACAGCCCAGCACTGCCTCTCCCACCCTGATTTCCTTCCTCAGGAGAGAATTCAGAATGAGGCTCCGAGTCCATATGGAAACAACAACGTTTATTCTTGTTTTTATCATTCAATTGAGGGGGGAAAAAATAATACAACTGAAGAGACACCCAAAAAGCCAGACCTCGTACAAGTCAGTGCAGGGTGTGTCCATTCCTACGCTGAGGTTACAGCACAATCCCTCTACACACTGAGTACAAAGCCCCAGGGACACAGGTCTGTGGTGTTTGTCATAGGGAAGGTCCTATTATGAAAAGGCAGCTCCATCTCCATCTTTATCTGTCTGGACGGGTCATTCCTGGCCTGGTTGGCACCATCATGGGTCTGGAGGGGGGTCTCATCATTGGGGGCCCTGGCATCATTGGCATGTGTCCTCCCATGGGCGGCCTCATCCCAGGAGCTGCCAGGGGAAAGACAGGTTAGAGAACAGCCCTTGGGAGCACCACCTGCCCAGTCATGGAAGAACATGGGTTGGGATGGACCTTAAAGATTTACTTCCACTCCCCTGCCAGGGACAGGGACACCTTCCACTATCCCAGGTTGCTCCAAGCCCTGTCCAAGGGGCAGCCACAGCATTCCAGGGATCCAGGGGCAGCCACAGCTTCTCTTCACAGCAACAACTGCCTCATCACTATCAGAGAGGGGAAATTTCACACTGTACAGTGGGCAGGTTCTTTACCCTGCTCCAGGGAACTCCCATTTTCCAAGTCTGGAAGCTCTGGCCTGGCAGCTGCTGACATGGATTCCACTCCCTGAGGAGCTCAGCCAGCAGCAGAGGAGGAAGCAAGCCCCTGGTTATACACCCATTCTGACAATATTCACTCACAACTTATTTCCAGCTACTCAAGAGACACAGCAGCTTAATTACTGATCTGGAAAAGTGTTAATTTGAAGAAAAGTGCTGCAAAACCATCCCATGTGCTCACAAACAAGCACAGAGCACCTCTGCCAGGGAAAAGCAGAGGCTCCACTGCACAGCCCTGAAATAATGGTTTCCATCCCACTTGGCCATTTATTTTCACCAGGCTGCTGAGTATCACAGACTGTGCATTTATCTTGAGTCTTTAAAAACACTTAAAGAACGCTTGCAAATGCAAGACAATAATTACAAAGACACTTCACTACTTTCAGTGCACGTGTGTTTGTGTGTTCCAATAAATTTGTTCTGGGAACTGTTCCAATAAGATATCCCTTGAGAATTCTTCAAATGCCAGGAAGCTCAGGAGTGGAATGGATCAAAGACATTTTAGTTTACAGTTCTGATAAAGCCTTTTCCAGGTCCATTGTTTCTCTGGAACACATTCCCCTGAGACGCTTTAAACAGTAAAAAAACCATTTAGTGCAAAAAATGCACCTCTTGTGCAAAACATTAGAGCTGGTGGCACCAAACTCCTGAACAATCACAGCTCAGAGCAGAGAGAGAGCAGCTGTGACTTCCCAGAGCCATAATTCCAGCTGCACAGGGGGTTGGTGACTCTCAATGAGAAGCAAAGGGGTTTAATGAGTGCTTATAAAATTGTTGTAGTCTCCCCATGCAGGGATAACAGCGACATGGATGTGACCAGAGCGTGACCAGCCCAGCACTGAGTGCCCAACAGATGGTGGGACAGGAAACATCCCCCAGACCCCCCCATCCAGCCCCCATTCCAGCAGACTTACCCCATCCCAGACTTACCAGGTCCAACTGGCATCATTCCCGGGGGGGGTGGGCCCATCATTGGCATCATCGGGGGCCCCCCCATGTGTGGGGCTGGCATCATGCCGGGCCGGGGGGGGCCAGCTGCACAGACACAACAGTTACACACTGGCACCCTCAGCCACCAAAGAGCCTGCAGCTATTCACAGCACATGGCAGTAACTAATGCCTCAGGGGCCTTACATCTGCCTCTGCTCCAGCCCTGATTCCAGGTGCTAGGAAGTGACCAGAGGAGGAATATGCTGGCTACCAACAGCTGCCACTCCCAAGAGCAGGGAGGGCTCTGGGCCCTTCACCAGCTCAAGGGCAAAAGGTTACCAAAGGGATTTCTATTCAGAAAAACCAACCCACTGTGCAGTTTTAACAGAGCCATAGGAGTCCCCACAGAATGAGGGGTTGTCACTGCTTCTGGTGCACTCAGCATCCCAGAAATCACACACAGTAAGGACTGAACTGCTCTTACACAAAATTTCCTCACACCCTGAGAGCACAAGCTCAAGGTGGCTTGGCTTCAAGCTAAAAGGCCTCTTCTTTCCAAGCTGAGGACACAAACAATACAGCTCTCCAGAGGGCCCTGATCCCAGCCCCAAAGTGCCCCACACTTACGGATGCTGGGAGGAGGTGGAATCATGGCTCCGGCCGGAGGTGGTGCCGAGAACGGCGTCGGTGGAATTTTCCCTTGCTGGAATGCAGCCGCTACATTGGGGGGGAAAAGAAAAAAAAAAAAAAGGAAAGAAAGAATCCCAGGGAAAAAAAAAAACACCAGTTACTAGGCCGAGGAAGCGCCGGGTCGCTCGTCCGTGTCATGCCCCGCGGTCACGTCATGCTGCGTGCGCTGCTGTCCCCACGCCGGACACATCCCTGGCACCTGGGGAGCACCTGAGACTCCTGGAGACAATTATTGTTACAGCTGGGACTAGAGAGCTCCTGCGTGGATGTCACACCCCTGGGCAGGGTGGGAGGGAAGGGGGGTGGGAGAGGAGAAAAATAAAAAATCAACCACGTGGCGGGATCCGCAGCGTTCCACCGGGACATGCTGTGCTGGAATGGCAACGGGGCCAGGGCTGGGGAGGGGGCAAGGAAGGGGAGGGATTCCACTGGTATTGACTGGAAGGAAGGGAAAAGGTGGGGAATTGGAAGCATCACAAGGAAAACAGACAAAGGGAAGTAGAGTGAGGATGAGTTAGGGGAAATTCGGATTGGATTGTTTTAGGAAAATTCTTCACCCAGAGGTGGTTGGGCACTGAGCACTCCCCGGGGGAGTGAGCACAGCTCTGAGTGTGTCAGAGCTCAGGGAGCAGCTGGGTGATGCTGCTGGTCTCATGGCTTGGTCTCAGGCAGTCCTGCACGGAGCTGGGAGTGGGATCAGTGATCCTGAGGGGTCCCATGAACCTGAGATACCCCACGAGCCAAGGAGTGCTGCCACACAGCTAACCTGCTGTTTGCACTTCTTTCATAGAGGAAAGAGAAAAAGGATCTCTTGAAGTGACAGAGGAATCAATGCCACAGCTCAGTTAAGCCTTTAAGTGCCAGGAAAAAAAAATCACTTGGCAACTGAGGGCAGGCAACCCCAGCATGTGAAAAATGCAACAATCCACACATTTTTGTGTCTGTTTTCCTATCTTTTGAAATTCTTATCCGTGCTCTTAGCAAAAATGTGCCACTGCCAAGCAGCACAAGTTATGTGGCCCTGCAGGACATCACTGAGAGCCCTCATGAACAGTGACATGGAGCCACTGCCACCAGCCCTGGGAGGGAACCTCAGCTCTTGTGTGGTAGGCAGAGCTCTCAGCTCCCCCAGGACGGCCCAAAACCTGAGGAACTCAAGATCCACACTCCAAGATTTCACTCATGACTCACTGAGCAAAGACTGGCCAGGGAAGTGAGGAAAAGTCAAGGTGGAAGCAGGGAAGAGCAGCTGGAGGAAAGGCAGGGGAAGGAGTGGGGAGGCAGCCGGGGTCACAGAAAGATTGGCCTTACTTGTTTTGTCAATCAGGCTCTGGGCTTGCTCCTCCATCCATTTCTGGTAATAATCCTTCACGTTCTCCTTGTGCTTCCGGCCACTGCAGTGGGTTTTTCTCACGGAGGGCTGGGAAAGACCACAGAAACCCTAAGGTTACCAGTGCTCCTCATGATTCTAAACACGTGCAATTTAGCAGCATAAAGCAGGTTAGTTTCTGTGCCCAGGCAGAGGAGGGGCGATGTACAAAACCTTTATATAAATTTTTATCAGCACAGTAAATATTGACTCTCCAGTCTGCCCTGAGGCCCTCAGCTGCCATCTCTGACCCTGCCACTGCCCCGCTGCAGAACACCAGGGGCACGGCACGTTCTCCCTCTTTTTTCATGGAAAGGGAAAACACCCAGGAACACCGCTGCACCCCACAGGCCCCGCTTTTAGCCGAGATAAATTTTATTTTAATGCTCTTGACGCGCGAAAGAATCGAAGCCGAGGCTTTGGTACTCACCGAGTCATGGGTGAGGTACGTGTCACAGTAATCACAGTAAAACCTGCCGGGGAAAAGCCTGGTCACTGAGAGCCCGCTGCGAGCGTTAACGGAGCCCGGGAACGACCCCGCGGGCCGCCAGCGCTCGGCCCGCCCGTCATCCGCGCCCCTCACGGCCCTGAGCTCGCGGGGCGCACCAGGGCCCTCGAGAAGCAGCGATCCCCACCCGGGGACCCCACCCGGGACCCCCGGCCCGGCCTCACTTGGGCATGGTGCTCCCGCCGCCGCCAGCCGGAAGTGGCGCACACGCGCACTGACGCACTCACACAGCGCCGCCGCTTGACCCCCGCCGGCTGCCGTAGGGCGCGGAAGTGACAGCGGCTGGGCTTCCCGGTGTCGTTCTCCTCGCCCGGCAGGTGGAGCCATGCCGCGCCCGCCCGTCCCTGGCTGGTCACGCCACCATCACCCGCCCACAGCCCCGGCAGCGCCCCCGCGGCGCTGCGTTCTCCGTGATCCCCTCGCGGAACACGCCCCGAGGTTCCGATCGCCAGCCGAGCACGGAGCAGCCTCGCGCTGCCGAAAATCGCAGGGAAAACATCATTTTTAGGCGGAAAAAAACAACGAAGGTGCTCCCGTCGAGCCTTGCGCCTCTCATTTGCATGGCGCCGCATGACGTCACGGAAGCTCATTTGCATACACAAACACGCGCACTCGCCGCCATATATGGATGGCAGCGCGCGAATGTGGGCGGAGACAAGCGATCGCCCCGCCTCCCCCGTGACGCAGCGGAGCCCCCCGAGTCACGCGCGGCGCTCATTTGCATGCGAGGCCCCGCCCCCTCGCCCTTGCCGCGCTCCCTCCTCCCCCCCGCGGGCGTGGGGTGACGCCGGCCGGGGGGTGACGCCGCGCGCCGCGCGCCGCTGGGCGGGGCGACG